TATAGTTTGCAGAATTGGATAAAAAACACATAAGACACACATTAAAATACACAATTATAAAAATACAATAAAATAAAATAAATACACAATTAAAATTCATAAAATACCCTAGCCCTAATTATAAGCCTTCTCACAAAATAAATATGGAATTAAATTTGGAAATGTTGGTTGCTTCCTGAACCCAGTTTTAAGTTTATTTCTGTGTCTCTGTTTTTGTTTCTATAATGCTTGTTTTTATAAAATGTGATCATCAAGCACAAAACAAAACAAATGGATTTTCTCTATTCATCTCAATTATAAATGAAGGATTTAAAATATTAAACATAAACGTTACCATGTCATGTATTTTACCAGATCATTTTTCATCTGCAGTCCCTTGGCAGGTCACATATAAACAAACGTGGCACAAAGTAGCTGTTACTATTCTGCTATTGGACAGGAATACGTCACACAGACAATGAAAAAGGAAGTAAAAAAGCAGCCTACAGTCACAAGTACGGACTTTAATGCGTTTAGTGTCCTGATAGCTTAGTTAAAAACTATTTTCTTTTACATTACATTTACTCATTTACTGTAAATGTTACTGTTTAAATTCAAAATGATGTCTTTTTATAAAACAGAGTGGTGTACGACATATTTACTTTTACTTTACTCAAGTTAAAACAATATATTCGTTCTTTATTGTTAGTTTCCGAATATACGCCTCCTCCTACTCCTTACACCTGTGTATTAAATAAAGCTTTACATTTAAATTGAATATTTCAGGAGACATTTCCTTGACGTCTTTGGAGCTTCAAGAGAAAATATAAGGTTTCTCAGTTCTTCTTCTCTAAAACCATCCGCAGACATCAGTTGCTCACAGAGTCTGGTAGCTTGTCTTCTCTCATCGATCTGCATGTCCTGGTGATTCATCCGTTCAGTCACGTACAGGCGCCGTCTTTCCCCGGCTCAGCGAACGGGAACACTTCCGGGTCAGTCGGGTCAGGAGGCACGGCATCTCCTTCTTCCACCCAGGACGCGGCCTTTGGCCTGGAAGGTGTAGGCCACACTGTGGGCGAGGCGGGTCATGAGGCGGGTCAGCTCCAGGTTGCGATTGCCCTCCTCCTCTAACAAAGTGCAGAAAGTCTGGAGGAAGACGGATCCACTCAGCTGGTGCATGAAAGCTGCGTAACCTGAGGAGAGGACGGAGGAAAGAAGCTCAAACCATCATCCATACATGCATTTATTTAAAAGCGTCAGCGTATAAAACATTACCATTACCATTGGATTGTTGCTTCAAGCTAATTCATCTGCAGTCCCTAAATATAAATATGTGTAAATACTTTTGATTTCCAAGCAGTGGGCCCAAGAAATGTTCATGTGGGTGGCCAGATGGGGCTGGAAATCCTTTACTAGCTAAATATTACAACACATACTTAACTCTAAGGTGCATATAGCACACTTTATGCATATGCACCTTGCTGGGAGGGTGGGGGGGGGCACCAATTTTATCAGGGTGGACGTGCCCCCCCCCCCCCCCCCCTCCGGATGGCGCCCCTGTTCCCTAGACCATGGATCCAAGCATTGGGTTGATATTTTAAATCCTTATTTTCGGATTATTTAAACTGTTTCTCTTTTCTCAGATAAATCACACAAAGGCATGTTTCAAATAGTAAATCTAGCCATTCAGGTTGGGCATTATCGAAGCAGCTGGAGAGGAATAATGGATTATAACTGGTCTTGTCTAGTTTTCTGATCCCGCTGGTTACACCCGTGTTTAAAACAGCAAAAGGTCACAAAATCAATTTATTTAAACTAAATAATAATGTAGTAACAAAAAAAAAAACTAATAGGAAGCATCTTAGCTTTTTAAATAATCGCGCTGATAATAACATCAGCATTTATTTTACTTTTCAGAGTACAAACTGCTCAACAAAAGGCTGTTTGCTGCTGTTATGTGACAGACCTCTAACCTCTAACATGCACTTCCTGTGCTCTTCTTCTTCTATCCCCTACAATTCTCTTGTATTGATTAACTCCTACTTCTTTCCTGAGGTATTTACCCCAGTGATGCGATATGTGCTATGAGCTCTTGCTAGTATTTATTGCAGACGTAGGCCAGATATCCCCGTCTGGAGCTGTCCCCGTTTTTAACAGTGTGTTAATCATAGACTGTTTAAGGTGTTAGCCAGAAAGATAAGATTAAAATACCTTTAAATGGACAGAAAAACACATAAAATGCAGTATTTCCTTGCCAGAAAGTTTTTTGTAGCCTCTACTTATTGACTGAAAGGATTTTCTGCCCTGAAATGACATGATTATATTCACGAGGGCTATATATCAGATTATATAAACTTTCCCCCTTCTTTATTTCATATATAATATCATTAGATTTTTTAATGACATGGCCAACTGACCACCAAACCAAAACTGTCCCCGGTTTTCATTTCACAAATCTGGTCCTTACACTTACTAGTATGTACTGTCAGTTGTAGATCTCGTGCTGTATTGACGCTTAATGTATGTTGTTCCTCAAATGTAAATCGCTTTGGAAAAAAGAGTAAATGAAAGTCGATCGCACAACAAGGTGTTTTTGTCCTGTTGCGGCTAAGCAAATAAGGGGTTGCAAGCTTAGATAATTTTATCACCTGTACATTTAACACTTTATTCAGTGAAATGAAACGGAGAACAAACTGCCAGAGATGTTAGAGAGCTATTCTGACTGACTAGTGCTGACATGTTCCCGGCTAGTGTGTTAGCCGTCATCAAGCAGGTATATTAGTTTCACAGAGACTCTAACTGGTGGATGGACTTGGGTTTACCCGGTGCTGTGGCGTACATCACAGCTGTATCTACAGGAACAGAGAGATACTCTGAGAAGCTGCACTCTGCGGTGTCTCCAGCTGAATCCACCTCCACCCCGTCATCCAGACCGTCTCCCCGACACGCCTGCAGAGACAGCAACAAGTCCTCAGTTACAGAGATCCTGAAGTACAAGCATGGTTTTGTGACCTCAGGGTGACCCAAACTGACCTCATGTAAGACTGAGATCATGACAATATACAACTTTTCTTTAATTCAACTTTTCAGTTGAGGTCAGATGAAATGTGTACAGAAGACTGTGAGCTGAAACCTTATGAACCTGAACACCTGTATGAGGAACACTTTGGCCTTTTTCTCCATACATTCGCTGTCAAAATATCTGAAGACACGAGCGAGTTGGACGGCTTTCCCGTCAGCTCCGAACACGCAGCCCTCCTCCCCGTGAGACGACAAGACGCCCAGGAAACAGTCCTTCACAGGCCGCCGGCTCTCTGCAGCACAAACACACGACATGACACATGCTCATCAATTACACACTTCGCTCGCCCATTATTGACTGTCGAGACGTGACTAAACGTGGAATGGTATGAGGTACGTGTCAGGTCAGGCATGCACGTGCAGAACATCAGGCTCAGGCTCTGTGCCAGACTCTTGTCTTTGTTAACATTAACTGAGACAGTCCTGTTCTATTAGTTTCTAACAAATGCCTGCACAGGAACATGATTACACGACCTAATGATCACGTTATCTATTAGTGATAAGCAGCTAAAACACCGCGTGAACTTTCAGTCTGATTGATATCTGGGTGTGTGTCCAGGTTGTAAATACACAGAAGCAGTTTCGTAATGTGTTTGTCGTTCTGAAAGCATAAGAAGATCAGTGGCACCAGAAAAGAAAGGATTATAAATCTGAAATCTAAATGCTTTAATCAGACAGTTCCAATAAATGTTTAAATAAAGTAAAAGCATGTGTACTCTGCACAGTAATGGATAGTCCGTGTTCCTATGTGGGTATTTAATCTGTATACTGATGTGTAAAGGCAGATTTGTATCCTAATAAACCATAGAAACTGAATGGGAGTGTGCCTCACCTTTCAGAAACAACTCGTAGATTTCGTCTCCGCCGAGGTCAGCGTGGATGTCCACCTCGAAGCCCAGTTTGCTGAGGGTCCGGTGGAGCCTCTTGGCGTCCCTCTCGGCTCCAGGCCTCCTCCCCAGCCTCACCCCGGGGTCAAACTCTGCCACAGACACCAACACTGCCCTGTTACACTCCCCTCTGCCATCCAGCAGGCCTCTCCGCTGCAGCATAGCTCTCCAAACACCTCAACGTATCAAGCTGCTTCTTCCTGTATCCGTGGAAGGTCTGATGCAGGCGTCCGTTATGTCTCTCTCTAACTTTGTGTCCCTGGAGTCACTGCTAGCACAGCTGTAAAGTTGTAGCCGTACCTCCAGTCACACCCGTCTCACCACATATGGACTTTCCTCTGCAGGCTGATGCAGGATGGTGTTACATAACTCTCTCAGGTGTGTTGCCCTTCAGGTGTTTGCTTTTCCAGATGAATCAGTGCTGGTCTACTGTGGTCTTGATCAGTTTCAGGAGGCTTCCAGTGGGAGGAACCTGGTCTCACCACAGTGTTTAATCAGTATCCTTCAGTATCAGGTAATCTCTGAGATCAAAAGCACGTGGTCATCTTCAGCAGGTGGAGTTTGATCCATGTTGGAAGTTAAGGCTGAAAGTTCAGTAAATGCAGCAGCACTAGAGCTCAGTCTCCCTCCGGAGACAATGAAGGCTTTAAACTCTACCTTTCACAGAACTCCCCAACACCTGGAAACCCTCGCAGATGTGGAAAACAATGGAGTTCTCCTTTAACCTCACAGTTTAAACTTAATTTTAAAGTTTTTATGATCAGCTTTTGAAGTGTGGAAATGTAACAGGGCAAACTCCATCAGCTGCGTGACATCTCGTGGCGCGACTTCTGTTTAAAGGTCAACAATTTACTTTCAGTTTAAAGTCTTTTGAAGTCCACGCCATTCGTGGAAGAAGTGCTCAAATCCTTTACTTGAGTAAAAGCAGAAATATCATAGTTTAAAAAGAATCAATTAGAAGTAAAAGTCCTGAATTCAAAAGTGCAGAAGTGTTTCAACAAAATGTGCTCAAAGTATCAAAAATGTGAGAGTTATTTTGTTGTTGAAATGAAAGCACGTGGGTTTTGCTTCACCAATGGAGGCGACACACATTAAGTCGGGGTCCTACCTAGAAAAGTTTGGGATTAAACACCTTTTAGGCATCAATTTATGGTGGGAATATTTTTATTTCTTTAAAGAGAAACACAAAATTCAGCCAGCAGGTGACAATCCGAAGTAATTAAAACAGATGGAGTTTAGAGAATCATATTTAATTCAACAGATTTCCATAATTAGTAGTAAAATTTGCTAAATCTCATCCAGCTGGTAACAACATTTAGTCTGGCTTTGATCTGTTTGAAGGGTTTTATCGTTTTGTTTAAGTCCCTCCAGCATCTTAATAAATTGTTCATGTATGCATTGATTTTATGTCCTTGTTGTTGTGCATTATGTATCAGGTTTTAGTTTTATTGTTCTCTTATTTTAATTGTGTGAAGAACTTTCTCGACTCTATGTTTGCAGATTGCCAGAAGGCTGAATCTTAATCAGTTAGCCGCAGCTTTGTTCAATCAGAAGTCCAGTCTAGTGATTTGTATTTAACCTTCCCTGCCAAGAAAAGCAACGTCACTAATCAAGTCCCACCGGTTGCAGTGAAGAAAAACATCAGTAATTTTCCACTTCTGGTTTGTGAATCATTCGTCTTTCTGTTTTGTCTACTTTAATTTAATTTGCATCTTTAAACGCAGGAACTTTTGCATGCTCCATAATCAAACCTGTCAATCACACCTGTGAGTTTCTGATGTGCTCAAAATAAGTCATTAGAGACGCTGACTGAGTCCATGTCACGAAGGTTTGTTTTCTAGAGCACAGTTCAGATGTCTTCCATCAGAGGTGTGTCCATGTGTCATTTTAATGATGGGAAGTGTTTTTCTGGAGGGTTAGCTAATCTTTAACAGCTGTTTTCTCAAATCAACATGTTTCCTGTAAACCCAGTAATTTCCCTCGCCCAACAAAGCAGTTAGATCATCAGAATTTTACTGTTTCTGAGGTCTTATATCAAGAAATTAACTGAGGTTTTTAAAAAAATCTTTTATCATTCTCATTTTGTGTGGGATTTTTTTTTCTCTGAATATGTGGGGAATCTGAATAAATATATAAAATTAATATCTTTTGATAAACTGTTTTGTAAATGTCTGGCCATTTGGTATAGTATCACAATAACCCCCCCCAAAAAAATCCACCTGCTCTTATTAATGTGTTGGAAAGTGGATTTACATGATATGCAAATCTTTTTTAAACAGAAAAATTGTAATTAAATAAAAGCTTCTATTTCTGTTGAAGCTTGTAAAGTTTCATTGTGATTAGAGTACAGTTGAATTTGTCATCTCGCCTTTTAACCAGAACAAAGAAATATGATCTCACACACTGGCTCCCACTATATTTTAGAATCGACTTTAATTACTTTTAAAGCCCTGCTGTATCTCCTTTTAGTCCCATATGCACCAGCTCGTACCTTGAGATCCTCGGGCGGAGGTCTTTTGTTTGTTCCAGACTCTCGACTGAAAACCAAAGGGGACAAAGCGTTTGCTGTTATTATTAAATTACGTTTATTGGCATGAATGTAATAACAACATTGCCAAAGCATCATATATACACAACATAAGAACAATCAGCCCCATACATTTCATTAAACAATTAAAGCGTAAAGTAATCAAAGTGTATGTGTGTTTGTGTTTAAAAAAAAAGAAATATTAAAAGTTAAAATAAAATAAATAAATAAAACAGTAAGCGTGTGTGTGTTATAAAAAATATATTAAAAATAAAATAAATAAACAAAACAGTAAGCGTGTGTCGGTGTGTGTTAAAAAATACAAAAATATTATAAATAAGATAAATAAATAAAATAGTAAGCGTGTGTGTTTGTGTGTTTGTGTTAAAAAATAAAAATATATTAAAATAAAATAAATAAAGAAAACAGTAAGCGTGTGTCAGTGTGTGTTAAAAAATACAAAAATATTATAAATAAAATAAATAAATAAAATAGTAAGCATGTGTGTTTTGTGTGTGTGTTTGTGTGTGTTAAAAATAAAAATATATTAAAAATAAAATAAATAAACAAAACAGTAAGCGTGTGTCAGTGTGTGTTAAAAAATACAAAAATATTATAAATAAAATAAATAAATAAAATAGTAAGCGTGTGTGTTTGTGTGTGTGTGTTTGTGTGTGTTAAAAAATAAAAATATATTAAAAATAAAATAAATAAACAAAACAGTAAGCGTGTGTCAGTGTGTGTTAAAAAATACAAAAATATTATAAATAAATAAAATAGTAAGCGTGTGTGTGTATGTGTTAAAAAATATATATAAAAAATTAAAATAAAATAAATAAATAAAACGGTAAGTGTGTGTGTTAAAAAATATACATAAAAAATAAAAATAAAATAAATAAATGAAACAGTAACGTATGTGTGTGTTTATATTAATAGACAAAAAAATAAAGAAATCAGTATCAAATGTAAAAACAAAACAATTACTAAAATATCAAACGATCAAAATAATAATAATTTGAAAATCTGTACAATTATTTGTCAGTCTGAGGTTCCACTGGTTGTCAGACATATTTTGCAGCAATTATTTCGCATTTTTTTAAACTTTATTTTAACTGTTGTCTTGTTTTCACCTTCTGTCTTATTATCTATTTTATACGCATTTTATTGTCTTTGCACTTGTGAAACACTTTGTAACATGTTTTTAGAAAATAAAGATTATTATTGTTGTTGTTGTTGTTGCGACATCTAGTGGATTTTTCTATCACGTGGCTAAACGAAGCGGGGGGGGGGGATTCACGTGACGTCCACTGGTGTGGTTGCGTCATCCGCACGCGACTGCAGCCGGCTGTGCTCCGCAGACAGCCGGTGTGCAGCAGCAGCAACAGCAGCAGCAGACTGACTGTCTTCAGTCCTGATCAACATGGAAACCGGCGCTCAGATAGTTTGCTGAAAGATTCAGAGACTCTTTCTGTGCGTCCGGCCGGAGTTTACAGAGAAGCAGCCGATCACAGAAACACCAGTTTGAACCTAGAAGCATGCTAGCTGCGGGCTGAAGCTACACGTGGTAACTTTCAGCTCTTTTCAGGGTAGTTCTGGTAAAAACGGGCTACGGTAGAGGAACAAGTTGGAAATGTCTCGATACCAGAAGAAAAACGGGATACCGGACAGGTGAGCAACACAAAGCCACACCTCTCATCTGTAATGTTGAGCTAACTTTCATTTTGTAGAGCTAAGCACTAAACTCCTCTGTATCTCCAGGCTGATAGTTGGTCTGAAGTTTAATATTCAGACTGGGAAAATGTAGAGGAGGCATTAAACTGACTGTTTCACCCTTTTTAAAGTAGTTAAATAACCATTAAATGACGAGGATGTTATTTTCAGCATTTCATCCTGTTGCTGTTGTATTTTGTTGTCTGACCACATTGTTGAAAGGCCCCGGAAACTGGAGAGCTCAATCGATACTGATACCCTATCAAAATGTATTTAACATCGACACATAAACACTTGTGATGAAGATTTGTGTTTGGGACATTTTAATGTGTAAAAATAAACACAAATACCCCAGCACTGGATGTTGCTGATCCACCGTACCTACAGATCTGTCAGCTAAAACCAGTGATTGGCCTGTCTTGGTTTGCTCTTCCAGAAACCAAACAGCTCCTCTTTCACCTGAAGACGTAAAATCTTTTAAAAAGTCCTCACAGATAAAATGTTTAAAAAGGCGCCTCAAACAGCTGCTCGCTGTAGTTTCTATCAGACAAACAGCAGGAATTAGAGCATCTTTTGGGGACTATTTTCAGCGGCGGATGAATCCACGTGTGCTCTAGTGAGTATTTGTGAGTCAGAATAAACTACAGCGTGTTTACGGGGATGAAGGAACAAGTGAGGCTCACTGGTTGTTTTGTTTTTCCTTCCCTACAGGTGGCTGGACTACAAAGCTGTTGGGAAAAGACTTCACGGGACGCGTTTCATTGCCTTCAAAGTGCCGCTGAAACAGGTAACAGGAAGTTTAATTGTTTAAATCTTTCTTTTGCAGTCGTGTTTGTGAGTGAGCAGCGAGTTTACAGCTGCTGATGACCATCGGTGTGCTTTCTCTAGTCTTTGAACCGCCAGCTCCCGTGTTCTGATGTCTTTGGTCCCTGGGAGCTGCGGGACACTTTGAACAAAGAAAACTTAGACCTGGGTTTGATCGTTGACCTGACCTTCACCACGCGCTACTACAACCTACAGGTAAACACACACACACACACATTTTATTATATTACATCATATTTAAAGTGATATAAACTCTGTTTCCTGTGTGCAGGACTTACCGGAGTCGCTGCTGTTTGTGAAGATCTTCACAGCTGGTCATGAGGTTCCCAGCGACGATACGATCCTCCGCTTCAAACGTGTCGTACGCAAGTTTCTACGAGACAACGCAGATAACGGTGAGAAACGCTGCTGCTAGAACGAGGCCGTTATTCGGTTATTTAAAGGTGTTATTTCCACTCGCAGTGGGGAGGACACGCCCCCTCTCTCTCGCTAAGCCTAAGGGCAATTTATACTTCAGCATCAAATCTATCCTGGCTCCCCGAAAACTGTGACGCAGGCCGCAAGAACTGTGATTGGTCGTCTTTGTGGCATCACATTTTCTCCTACGCATTTCCAGCCATACCTCCAACGTGATCCGCTCAGTTTCAGTGGCCACCGTTTGTGGTAGCCTGCACCAACGAAGAAGAAGAAACTCAGCATCAGTGGAACCCCTCCGCCAACCTGGCGGTGTAACTGCAGAGCGACGGCTTAATGACGGCGTTTGCCTGGAGTCCCGTTAATGTGAAACACTCGCCTGCGTTCCCTTCGATCGCATCGTGAGCAAAAAGCTTAACGAGCAGAGTCTAGAAGGCTTTTTTGCCCTCAGTTTGGTCTTTCTGGCTACATGCAGTCTGCCTGTAGGAACCGGATACAGGGGCTGCTTTAAAGTACTTTACAGTTAATAATTCTCACAAAACGATGCATCAATCAAAAGATAAAGCAGCAGAGGAGAGAGCTCGCTGTGCTGATATAACAAAAACAACAGCTCTATTAAGGAAACATGTTTTTACAATAAGTAACTTTCTAGAGGAGCAACAGCTTTATCACATTTTACACCTTTTTTCAGCCGCTGTACCCCGAACACTTCATGTGTCTGGTAAATAGCACGAGACCACAAGCAGCTGAAGTCTTGTTTCAGGTCGACACACAGAAAAAAGGGATTAGTGTCGGTTATTTACAGGAACTATTTGCTGCAGGAGAGAGACATTTAGAGAAACTCCTGGTTTCTACTGAAGCTGGTTTCACACAGAACTCCTTTTTATATCTCCTTGAAGTGAGAGTACAACACTGTGTGTGACTGATGAACTAAATCAGCCACAGCATCTGACGCCGGATGCACCTGACACACATTAACTGCCTTTTCTTTTCCAGACAAGCTGATCGGAGTCCACTGTACCCACGGTCTGAATCGCACCGGCTATCTGATCTGCAGGTGTGTGCAGTTTGAACCCCACAGTGGTAGTTTGAACGTGGATAGTGTTTAACAGCTGTGTCTGACCCGCAGGTATCTGATCGATGTCGATGGGATGGATCCTAAAGAGGCTGTAGAGTGTGAGTACTGACGTTTTAGTCTCCTGTTTGAAGGTGCGTCGGGCTCGTTCCTGAATGAAAAGTTTAATGTCCTTTTGTTCTCAGTGTTTAACTCCTCGCGGGGCCATGCCATAGAAAGACAGAACTACCTAGAAGATCTACGGTGTGGACCGAAGAGGAGGTACTTCAGACATATTGCATACTAAAACACAACTGTCTGCTGTGGATTGATTGGACTGCGCAGGATGTTTATTGGTCTGCGCCTTGTGACCTTTTTAAACAGTAACGACGGGATGGAGGAGTCTGAGCAGGAGCCAATGAGAGGCCGCGCTACACATCGGCCGTTAGACTCTGACGGCAGAGACGAGAGACGACCACACTTTAATGACCCCTGGTACCACAGGTAGGGACAGCCAATCAGACGACAGCTTAAACAAAAATGTGACCGTCTTATTTGTATAGCACGTTTAAAAAGAACAGGAGCTCGAATTTCATTCTGCTGTGCTGGTGGGTAAAAAGCCTTTGAACCTCCACACAGTCGTAATTAATAAATAAAAAGATTAAAATAGTGAGAAGCCTTTAGGGGAGTCAGAGCCTGACTGACCCAAGACCTTCATGTTCCCCTCAGGATGAACTGTAGTAACTTTACTGATCCTCTGACTTTCCGTCTAGCGCCATCATCAGGTCAGCATGTTAACAGGTGCGTTTGACTTCATGCGGCGTTGGCTTAATGTGATGCATGCTGGACTTAAAAGAAGGCATGCTGGCTAGAAATCCTGTCCGACTTTCGCCGGCGCTGCAAAACTTCACCATGTCACATGACACTGAAACCTCGCGGGAGCTTTTCTCCTGCTGCACGAAGTTAGAACAAGTATTTTTTATTTTTTATTTTTAAATGCCGCGAGATCAGTCGTTGTTTTAAGCTCACGCAGGTAGAATGTGTCCGATTCGACGGCGCGGTTTTTAAACCCCGCCCCTGCTTCTCACGTTAGACTATCGCCTAATCACCTAATGTCCATCACTTATGACCAAACACCTGAAGAACTGATGACCCAGATGGCACAGTAAATATGTAGCTTAGCACAAAGACAGCCCTGCTCTATCTAAAGGGAACAGAAGCACCTACCTTTAAAACTCACTGATTCACCTGTTATATCTCGATTAAGTGCAAAAACGCGGATGTGACAGTTTCTTGGCAAGGGAGTCTGAATTCCTGGCAACCTCGTGGTGACAACAAGACTCCAGGAAGTCACTGATTTAAAATACAACCACAATAAATCAAAATCAAATCAACTTAATAGTAGACCCTCATGTCCATATTATCAATCTAACTCCTTCACATCGGGATGAATTAGTGAACTAGCGTGTTAGCATGCTAACAGAATTTAATGAGCAGTAAACCCGGGTTTCCAGCGGCTCCTTAAGAAGTCTTAAATTAAATAAAGGGAAATGAAGGTGTCTTAAATTTCCCCTAAGTTTGCTGCATGTACTAAATTTGCAGAAGGTGCGTTTAATGCTGGTGGGGAAGATCGTCGCTCACAGTGGCCCACCATAAAACATTTGATTAACCTGTTTACCTCTGTGTCATCTCTGCCCGGAAAGTCCCGCCTGGCTTTGTTTCCCTGTTTTCCTTTCTGTTGTTTTAATAGTTTATATTGAGTTTAAGAACAGCATCGCACGAGTTCTTGTTCACAAACGGACACAATCAGTTCACCAAAAACACGTTCAATGATCGGTGCTGTTTGAGCTCGTCTATGTACAACACTGTACAGACATGTCATTTCACAATACTGCGACCGGTGCATATATCCGCCCAAGTAGCTGCTGTAATGTGTAAACAGCCTGTGTCATTTACCTGTGGTAAAAATACTGTAATACCGGCTCTGCTGCCAAATACAGCTTTGTTCATTATAAGAGCTTCCTCGCATCTGTCTTCTATCAACAAAATAGACACTTTTGGGTCTTAAATTATATGTGTTGACGTCGTAAAAGGTAAATTATATGTGTTGACGTCGTAAAAGGTCTTAAAAAGTTGTTAAAATGTTTCAAGAACCCTTTAAACACTTCATTTCAGTTCAGTTCTCAGTGTTTACCACAGGATTTTAAGAGACTAGACAGTAAACAAAGTTGTGCTCTAATAAACTATTTGATCATAAACCCATTGTAGAGCTATAAATGGTGATGAAATAGCATCAAAAGTCAACAAATTTATTTATTGTTTTTCTAAAAACCCTAATTCAAAAAAATTGAAAATAGAATTAGTAATTTCCCTAACATTTTATTTATTTTAATAGATTATGTAATATGTTTTATACTTTCTGTGAATATAATCCAGTTAATCTTATTTCCATCCTGTACAGACGCCTTATTTTGAAAACTGGACGTTGTCACATGTGTTTCCTCCTCGCGCTAAATTCATCCAGTCCGACCCAGTGTGATAAATAATGTTGTAACATGAAGACTTCACAGCTTCTCTTCAGGCAGGACTCTCTGCAGCACTTGTCTTTGTAAAGAGACAAACTGACAGGATAAAGTCTCTAACCTGCCGTCAGCTCGCACTGGTCCGTTTCAGTGGATTTACCATAAAGGCTTTAATACGTGTGCATTCCAGATTTAGGCGCGGCTAGCTTAATCACCTTCTCCCAGACGAGTGACGGAAACAGACCGTTAACGTTACCATAGTTACCACCAAGCGGTCGCCTCGAGTCGGAGACCAAAGTGTGTGAGTGTGCGAGCTCACAGCAGCGCCCACAAAACACAACGTTAGAGGTCTGAAATGTTATTATGAGATGTGTAAAATATTTGCGGTTTATTTTAAAACTATGGCGGAACAAATTAGACTGTGGCGGGCCGCCGTGGTCTCGTTAATTAATGGGAAACACTGATTCTGCAGGTTATAAACCTTAGTGTGGGACACATCGACATGTTGACCTGATGATGGTGCTAGATGACTAAAGTTATTACAGTTCATCCTGAGGGGAACATGAAAGTCTACATTTCATCTCAACCCAACAGCTGCTGAGATGTTTCAGACTGGACCAAAGCGGTGGACCCACTCACTAAATTATTCTTACATCCTGTCGCTCTGTTTTCCCTCCCGCAGGTCTTTCCCTCCAAGAGAAGAAAACCCTCGCTCACATCGCCATCACCATCCACACGACGGCATTCTTCCCAGTCCGCCATTGTTGCCCCCACCTCCTTTCTACCCTCCCACGGGAGCCCCTTACTCCCCGCATCGATGGACGCCCCCTCATCCTGACAGTCAGTGGAGGAGACCCCACCGCTCAGAGGAGAGCAGGTCCAGACATCCTCCAGCAGAGCGGGACTGGAATCCATCTTCTCGCTGGCAGGAGGACAGAAGGAGAGCTGCTCCCCCTCGTCTTCCTCCTCCCCTCCCCCGCTACTCCCCACGCTGGACCAATGAGTCAAACGGCCTCCGAGACGGACCTGAGGATGAGTGGGCCGCTCCCAAAATGAGACATCAACACAGATATTCACACAGAAACAGAGCCGACACTTATGACAACTACTAGTCTGATCTGCGTTGACAGAAACCAGGACCTTCAGTATTTGGATCGAGTAGTTTGTGAAAAATAAAGCGTGTCAGATTTAGGATATTTAAATGTGTCAGACACATATTTAAGCATCATGTAGATAAATCTAGCGTCCAGCTGAAGCTAACGAGCCAAGAAGTACGGCAGACAGTTGAGACGTCAACGTGCCTTTTTCATCAAGTCAGTCGAATGTTGATCCCTCTGTGCTGAGGAGAAGAACTGTTGACACGTTTCCCTGCTTTATATTTCAAGTATACATTTTGTAGCATGATTTGATCGCCCTCCGTGCACACAGTTAGGGCTTCAACTAACGAATATTTTTACTGTTGATTAATCTGGATGTTATTTTCTCGATTAAGCGATTAGTTGCCTGATCTATAAAACATCTGAAAATGTTCATCACAGTTTCCCGGAACAAGAGATGAGGCGTTCAAATGTACCATTAAAAAAATGTTGGCGTGTAGAACCAGTGAAATTTAGACTTGTGTTTTGAAATTGACTTTTAATAATTGATCGATCGTTGTAACTGATCATTTTCTGCTGATTGACTAATCGTTTCAGCTCTACAGGCGGCCCATCAAGGGGTGAAACGATCGGTCGATTGACAGAAAAATAATCTGCAACTATTTTGATAATAATTTTAATACTTTTTTCAAACAAAAGACGGTGGAAAACTGTCACTCGTTCTTTGGCATATTAATCTATAATGAAAATAATCAGTTGTTGGAGCCCTAAACTCTACAAACTGGTGGCTACTCATTGACAAGGATATGATCCCTCACCGGCTTCCCACCCACAGTGTTAAAACTGGGGATTTCACTACCAGGAGTTGAACTTGTGTGTGTGCGTCACCCTGCCGCTGGTGTCAGACTGTTTTAATGGACATGTTGTGTGTTTTTGTTTTCTACCATGTGGACTTTCGGTCAGGTGTGACCTGGTTTAACTGTGGCCCCGTAGAGCGAGATTAAAGTAAATGGAAACCGTCTCTGACGTCTCTGCTGATTTCATCACCATGTTGGAAATGAAAATACAAAAAGGATGTTGAGAAGACTTAGATCAGTAGTAGTCGGGGCTCACATGAACATCCAAACAGGTTCTGCTTGCTGTCATCTTTCCACCTGGTCACACTGGATTCCTTCGAGATGTAAGTGATGGGGGGACGAGATTCAGAGGCCGGTTGGTTCACATTTGTGGTTCAGACTTGAACGTCTCAGCAGCTGTTGGATGGATTGTGATGAAATCTGGTTCATCCACACAGGATTTACTGTGATAACATGTCAGTCCTCTGAATTTTCATCTAGCGCCATCATCAGGTCAACATGTTACAAAACACTTTGATTTATGACCAAATAACTGTAGAACTGATGACATTCCCATCAGCCTCAGCTGCACGCTGTCTTTACTGGAGACTGTCCTCACCAGAAAAACAACATGTGTCCGTGGTCGGCGTTGGGCGGCCTGCGGGCCAAAACTGACTTTGATGCCAGCAAAAATAAATAGTGGCTGGGGCTGAAATATGTAGATCTCAGTCATGACAGCAACAGTTACTCAAATAATCATGTCCTCTTTAGTGAAAGTGTGATGTTTTTTGCAGCAATGAGTTTAATTGAGAGCTTTTACTGAAAAAAATCTGAAGGACATTCATAAAAAGTCTGTGGCGTGCTTGACACACGTCTGAAATAGCTGTTACTTGGCGTGAGATTTGATTCCCCTGAAGGAGAAGCGTAAGAATTTCCTCTGCCTGGAGATGCTGAGGAAATGACGAGCTCCAGAGGTAGATGGATGTGGATCAGTTGCTGGGACGCACATGCTTTACTGTGAGCATGAGAAATATTTGCAGTATGTGGGGATCAAACACACAAGCCTCCTATCAAGAGTCGCACTAGTGCGCACTAATGACTAAGCTGGACAAGGGCGAGTTAAGTTGATCATGTGATCATGTTCTGTCCTGCCGTATAATGGCTTGAAAATAATTTGCCGAGTTATTTGCCGACCCCTCATGTAGGTCGTTTGTACAGCACGTTATTTTCACACATTAATTGTTGCTGGACCCAAGTAGCCGAAGTTATTTTCAACATTACTGACTTTTGTCACGTGACTCACTTTATTTACTTTCTTTAACCCAAACCGGCGTTTTCTAAAGCTAACCAAGTAGTTTTTGTCGCCTAAATTTAACCAAACTGCGACCCTTTCACATTGTTAACCACGCCTTGTCAAGTGACGTAGGACTTACGCAACGCAGTTAAGGTCCAGTAGCCTGAAGGGAAATGCTCTTATGTGTCGTTTTAGGAGGCATGAACAAACTAGTGCTAGCTTGGTGGTTTACTGCTAATTAGCTAATGTTAGCATGCTAACACACTAAACTAAGATGGTGAACCCGGTAAACATTCTCACAATTAGAAATAATTTACTGATCCCTGAGAGGAAGTTTTTTGTTACAGTTGTTACAGAGAAAGAGTAGAAATAATAATAGAAATATATAATAGTGCTGAATAAACCAGAATACTGCACATCTTCTCAGTTTGATTCTCTGCAGGAGTCGACGAAGACTTTGACGGCCACAGGCAGGAATGACTTCCTGTGGAGAGAGTTTCCCCTCTTTCTAACTTCCTCCTCAGGTCTTTCACACTGGCTAATGGCTGACTTGACCCCTGCACACTGGTTCCTGGCTCATTGGCTCCTGGTAGGTTCCTCACAATCTTCACCTTCCTTGTCTGTTCTTTCCTCACTTCCTCCCTCAACAACTGAAATGATGACGTGGCATTGTTAGGGTTATGTGGAGAGCGTATAGGCTAGTCATTGGAAAAAGAAATATTAAAATTTTGAGTACACATAATTCAGTTAATGTTAGGGCAATATGTGTCACTTGGTGCTGCATGTGGCACTTCTCACGCCAGGACCCTTCCTCCTCTCGGGCTCACGGCGATGCACAAATATGTTTGGAACTTTATCAACCCTTAAGACCAGCTCTCCCAAACTGCCAGCTCCTGCAGCAAGCAACCAGAAAGGGAGAGGGGTCGTAACAATATACACACACACACACACACACAGTACATTTATACACACAGTACTGTGGAAAAGTTTAGGCACGTGGATAAATGCTGTTAATAATCTTTTTAAAAATGCACGTTGATTTATTACAGTTCTAAATTTAAAAAATGCAAAATATACAGAAAAAGATATCATCCTATGTATGTTTAAACAATTACAAACCGATGATGATGGTGATCAAAGATGTAGGTTGAAACCTGATCATGTAGCACGGCGTCTCCCAAACGATGGTTTCCAGATGTGCTGCCAAACTCAAAGAAGCACAAAGAAACGGTCTGCGTTGAGGACCGTAGACAACGTGTAAGGAAATTTCCATCCAAGGAAATTTACCACAGCAGATTGAAGACACGTCATGCTTGTGGCCTTCACAAAGGGACAATGTCCAGCAGTGTCATCAGCTCAGAGCTGCAGAAAACAGTGGGACCCTGGAACTCCCGTCTGCTGTCTGAGAAGCCTTCATCACGTTTACATTTATTCACTTAGCTGACACTTTTATCCAAAGCGACTTACAATTGCTATAGAGGTTCTGTTCTGCTATCAGAGATGGGTCACAGTGGGGAGTTGAACCTGGATCTCTCACACCAAAGGCGTGCGTCTTATCCACTGCAGGGCCTAAAAGCTAAACTATGAGCATTCACCAGCCATTTGGCTGATGGACAAGAACGTTTTGCAGCCTGCAATGATTTGGATATTATTTTACACATATATTCAACTTATACAGTGATGTTGAAGATGTTAGGCTTGTGATTAGAACTATAAACTTTGTTCTTCATATATATAAATAAAATAAATAAATTAACTCTCTTCTCATAGGAAAAACTAATGACCCAATTGTCCCAGCTAGGGTGTAAAATTTCCCGCTACATGCTTTAGATTTACGTTGCTTTTGGCAAAGTCCTTTGTCTAATGATAAACAGATGCATGCAGACTCCCTCAGAGCAGTGAGTCTGATGGTGGGGAGGTTTCAGGGCTGAGCGATGTCACTGGGTGGATTCTGACAGCAAAACACATGCAGTCCACATGCCGTGGGCCAGAACGCGGTCAGTTTGCTTTGCACAAAAATAAAAAATAATAGATCTCAGTCATGACAGCAACAGTTACTCACATAACAGCTTCCTCTTAAGTGATTGTGCCTCTAAAATAAAAGGGCAAGAACATCTTTAGCAGCAAGGCCGGAACGCACATGCAGCACATGCTTTATGTGAACATGTGCAAAAGTGTCCTTTTATTCAATTTGGGAGGAAAAAATAAAGGAAAAAAAATATCTGCAATAAAATGGAAGCAATTGAGTGTCCCCTGCTGTACCGACTGAGCTAAACATGCACATAATTTAAAAATGGTTTGACTCATGGGGCTTCATAGAACGATGATAGAGAAGGTTCAAGAGGTGAATTTGTGCATTATACTTTGTCAATTAAAGCATAACCAGCATAGTTCAAATGAACAAAATGACTCAAAAAAAAATTAGTTCATTTTAACGAACAAGTTTTAAAGACTCGATTCTGTAATCGGATGTCCAAAGGTGTCCACACGGGCGAAGCATCACAAGTAGGCCTACTTTGTGATTGGCCTGTTATCCATATCACACCAACTAATATGGTACACAGCAGACAGTGTACGGCCTACTTCTGCAAAAGCACTCCTGATGTGAACTTTAATAGTCCATTAAACAGTATAGTACAATAAAAATGCTTAAATCAAACAGTAAACATATGAATTACAGAGATGGAAATTTGCCACTGTGGCTGGTGGATCCTAAAATCTACCGGCCACTTTATTGTTTTTAACCGGCAAATGAAATAAATACAAAAAATATCTACAATACTTAAGCATGTTTATTTCATTAGGGTAAAGTCTTAAGGAAAACCACTGACATTTTCTCTTTCTCTCTCATGCAGAAACATGCACCATCACAGGAACCGTGAACTGGTGGAAGTTACATTTAATGAGTTGGGAAGATTGAACAAAAGCCAAAACCATTGCTCCTCTTCCTGTCCTCATGCCCATCCCTAGTTTTATGTCTCTGCTGCTCATCAGCATCAGATTCTGAAGTTTCAGACGTGCTCCTGAGCATTCCCGGAGGCCCTCTAAGCCAAATGCTAGCCTATATAGATCTGGACAACAAGGGTGAGGTCATAATCCTCTATAGAAGGACTGGATAGCTAGACAGTCAGCAGGTCACACAGGCTTTTAGATGTAAACCTCCTGTCACTCCTGCCCGCCTCTTTAACAGAGTTCAGCAGAGGCGGGTACGGTAAGAATGAGGTCGACCAGGCTTTTGACAAGTCTAAACACACGGCGAGAGAGTGCCACATCCAGATAAAAAAAAAAAAGAGAGCACAGGAAAAAGCAGTCCCGGAAGATACGGTTGCCCACGGCAGCAGTGGGAGATTATGATGATACACGTTAGAGGTATTTAAAGAGTTATAAATCCCCTACACTAGGGAGTTAAAAACACTTTTCTCTTCAGTCTCTAAAACACTCCTCCCTGTCTCTGCATGATCTGCTAATAGCCTTCGTTCTCACAGCGCTGGCACTTGAAGACCAGGGTGTGTGTGGCTGTATTGATTCAAACAAGATCCTAGTTAATGAACACAGGATGTAACCATTGTAGCAAAATCTTTTCTCACACACTGCTCTCAACATTGGAACAAAAAAGTTAGAAATGCATGGATTTATACACAGACACATGTTGGCCTTTACACACTGAAAAAAAAAATCCTTTGGATTTACTCGATTTTAATGTGTACATCGGTCCCACATGATCAGAATGTGGCTAACTGACATAATTTTCCTGTTTTTCCTCAATGAATTATTGCTTGTCAAACCAAAATAATTAATTCATATTAGACAGTTTAAAAGAATCATGTTGACTCAACATGTTATTTGTCAGTTACTATAATGCCATCATATTGTGTAATGTTAATGTAAATCCATGATGTCCAGGGTACCTGATTATCAATTGTAACTCCAACTTGATTTCTTAATGCTTATGTTACTCAAAGGAATTATGTACCTTCAAGGTAATTTCATTATGTCCTATGTATCTGAGATAGGTCTGTAAATCTTACTTGATTTGGTAAAGTTTATTCTATCTAAATGTATTGCAGGCATCGGTTCGTGTGTGCAGATATTTGCATTGACAAAAAAGGCTGACTCAGAGTTTTGCACTAAACGTTCGTTATATTGAACAATACAAACTTTATCCAAAAAGAGGACTGCAGTTGTGTTTGCTGATTTCAACTGTTACAAGTTGTGCATTCCTAGGAGCAAATACAAAACATGAATAAAACGTTTCCCTTAACTAAACCAAATGTCTTGTGTTCAAATGTTGCTGGCACTGAGGGCCTATTTTTTAGAGCTTTTCTTAGAAGGTTTACTCCCACACCTACATACTCCATTTTCTCTGTGCCAACAGGTAGCAGTATTAATTTACAACAAACAAAGTAATCAGTTCTTCCTGAAGAACGCATCTAAACCTTGTATTCACAGTTGTCAGAGGATTCAAAGCAACACATACAATATATTGCTAAAGTTTTTAAGGTGACTCCAAGCAGCAAATGGAATTAACATTTTTAACAGTCAACAAGAGTAAATGATAAGGCAGTGCAAATGGTATAAGATGCCTTTGACAACAATTGAAATGTCTTGTGTCCTCATGTTACAGGCAGTGTAGTCTCTGACGTGCCTGTATTTTGGAGCAAGTGCTTTATTAGACAGTTTACATCCGACCCTGCATACACCATTTTTACTGTGCTAACAGTATATCTTTATGAAAAAAAGTAAACAACACTTCGTAAACATTTGTTTTGAACTAAGGAACAAATATATAGATCTCTTAACCTTGTATACGGAGTTGTGAGAGTATTCAAAGCATCAAATACAATATATTGCAGAGGTTTAAGGTGACTCAGACCAGTAAATGAAAATGTTAACAACCCATTTTTAAACAGTAATCAAGAGAAAATATAAAGCAGTCCAATTGGTATAACAATATCAAAGTTGTCTTTGACGACAATTCAAATGTCTTGTGGTCTAATGTTGCTGGCACTGTATCCTGACCCTTTTACTGAAAGAGCCGGTTTTTTAGAGCCAGTGCTTTGTTAGAAAGTTTACTTCCATCCAGTTCCATGAAAATCTTTTGGACTACCTCGAAGGTGTACCGAAGGTCAGCAGGGTAACTCAGGTTTAAGGCATAAATCAGTCCGAACAGCATGGCAACAGCTAATGCTACCGTATCCAGATCTTGCAACACCTTGATGCCTTCAAGGACGATTCCAATGTCCTCTGGTTCATCACTTGAAGCATGTTCTTTAAGAACAAAAATCCCAACAATGGTGTCTTCAATAGCCTCATTTATGGCGTCTTTATCCATGCCCTGTACCAAAAAGACAAAAGTAAATGACCCATTAACAAGCGCAATTGAGAAAATGATAAATAAATATGAAACTGGATTAGGGTTAAAATGTTGGATTTATTTCACAGACACTTAAATATAATAGCTTCTTTTCACATTTTTATTTATTTGTTGTTTATTATATGTTGAAATTTCAATATCATAATCGGCTATACATTAACTCATTGGGAGAAAACTGGCAGTTCTGTGTAAAATGAGACGTTGAGCTCCCCCATATTGCCAAAATGGCGTGATCCTACTTTTACAAGATTCGACTGTGAGAATCAGGCTACACCCATCGAAGCATAAAATCTTCGACTATTTGGGGTCAGCCCTATAGGCAACATTTTTTTTTTCTTTAGAATACACAAAATGAGTCTGCTGTGCAGAGCAGGGGGAACCGGAGGTGAGAGTCCAGAGGGCGATTGGTTGAGCCGCTCCCTTGGAGGGCAAAAAAAGTTATTTCTTGCTGCTTGCCAACCGGAAAGCAAGTGATACACTGTTACTATGGTTTTTTTACTTTTGCATTGCCAAAATGCTGGATGATAGTTGTACTTTCTGATGCACTAATCGAGAAAGAGAAAAGCCTGAGCTGTGTTAGGTGAGGGATTCCCCACAAGCCAAACGTAAACATTACGACAGTCGAGCAGCAGCAGGGCGCTTTTTGACGATAGAAATGAGGATCGGATGCTGTAACATGGATTCGAAGTGCCGACACTTGCAGTTTGTGTTCATATCTTTCTTTTTCTTAAATTGAGAGGTGATCCAAATAAATGTAAATGCTTTTGCAGCGTCTCTACAGGGGAGTTGCGGCGTGATTTGTTGTGTTGGTTTGTTGTTTTGCCCCCAGGTACCGCAAATGTCATGTGACTGAAAACTATGAATAGGCCTTGTACAACTATTTAAATGTGTTCATTATGTTGTTTGGTGTGGCCTACAGTTTCCTGATTAATTTTAAAATATAGGCTATTTGACATTTTTGATCTTTATTTAAATAAAGCATTAGAGTCTATAGTCATGTCTCAATTTTGTTAGATTGACCAGTAACCAAGAAACATTGTATTGATTTTATAATGGTATAAAACTAAAAATGTAATACATCAAAATAATAAACACATTCTCTCAATCAATTAATAATTTCAGCTCAAATGATCAAGGAGAAGGACAATAGAAGAGTAGAAGATAAGAGAAAAAGTAAGCACCAGTTCATGTACATACCACATATTCCCGCACAAGGTTTTCTGGATCTTCACCCATGTAGATACAGACTCCCTTAATGATACACTCTCGTCCAGTATCTACATCATCACACTGAAAGGAAACGTACTTAATTATTGTCTTCATGCAGCTCTTCTGCTTTATTTTAAAGTCAACTACTGCTGTAAACTGTCATAAGAGAACATATTTCTCTGAGAACATAACAGCAGGGTCCCTATTATGGTACAAGCCTTTCTGTGAGCTCTAAATCATGCAGGAAGTAGATTGGCAGGAAAGAGGAGGTAGAAAAAACTATGAAGATAAATAAGTAAATTAGAGGTGCTCGGATCAGGGTTTTTTGGGCCGATCACGATCACCGAAAGCAGTATCGTCCGTTACCGAACACCGGGTCTATTTGAAGCCTTTTATTTATCATGTAGCATTATACAGTAGGATGAAACGATTACCGATTTAACGATAAACCATGGTAAAATTCCCGACGGTTATTATTACCATACACATTTTAATTACCATGATAACCGGGTTCGGTTACCGCACTATTATAAACTCACAGCAAACACTGTCCAGCATCAATCAAAGTAAGCGACAGTCTCCCAGAAGCAGGTGCGCATGTGCAGAACGCAACGTGGATTTGTTTGGGTCAATGACAACACGGCAGAAGACAACACTGTGGAGATTTTTCAGTCGCTCTGAAGTCTGGTCATAGTTTAGTTTTTATGAGAGTGCTGAGGGAAACTTGATTGAAGCAAATGAGCTTATAGTGAAAGCAGGGTGAGTTAACTTTTAGCTTTGGTTTGTCTGTCTGACTTGCTAACAGTTTGTAAACTGAAGCTCTCAGTGTTGCTGCTCTTGTAAAAATGCTACAGGTTGTACTGTTGCTGTGTGCGTCATGTGTCAGCAGACTTTATTCGTCAACTGCATATGATAACACATTACAGAGTTCAGTCAACTAACCAGCATATTCATTCATTTTAAATCCAGTCAAATTAGTTGTAAAAGTGTCAGGAGAAACGCTGCAGACTGCTTTGTATTTATGGCATTTGTTGTCTTCTAAAGACTTATTTGTTTTCATGTAATTGAGCATGAGGTCATTGCATTATCTACAGAATATAAAATCTTGATAATGCACACTTAGATGGTTTTCATATGTTTAAAAAAAAAAAGAAAAAAAAAGTATTGGCTGTTATTTTATTGTTTATGCAAACAAAATGTTACTTTTATTTGTAGTTTTCAATATAAATCTTATTGAAATGGTTTCGGTGTGTGTATCAGTACATTGTGATCTTTTTCAGAACATTTTTACAATAATGTGATAATACTGATAACCGTGATCATTTCGGTCACTACAATTGTGATCTGAAATTTTCATACCGTTTCATCCCCATTATACAGTATACTGTGTATTTGTCATCTGTTAATTTTAGGACTAATTAAATGAAGTATCATGAAATGACAACTGTTTATTTTATTGCCAGGAAACATGGGCAACAAATTCCACTCCCTCTCTCTTAGAGACTTAAACCATAGCAGCCTTTGCCTGGTTACTGCAAACATTTTTTTAGCTTAACAAATACAGCTTTCCTGTGAAATAAACTACAAAAACAGAACAAACAGCATCTTTATAAATTTACTTCAACTATAAAAACTGCAACAAAAATTTTAGGAGATAAAGGAGTACAGGCATCATGAGTCGATGATAAACTCTGAAACAGCTGCTTTTTGTTCTGGAAAGCTCAGGCAGGTTCTGTGGGTTTTAGGGGGTAGAGAGAGGAGTAGAGAGAGGGAGAATGGGCTACAGAGAGGAGTCATAACTGTCACTATTGGGATTTGAAAATAAGGGAAATTTAACTAAATAAAAATGTTAATTCCATATTATACTGTTAGTACTTATAGTTACTATATTCATTATAATTTGGTTTACCACTAGTATATGCCTAATATTATTTCAGTGGCTTGTTTTCATTAATTAAATCCTTGTGCAAGAAGCACAGTCTACATCTAATGTTTTACATAGGCCTATTGCCACTGGCTTTACCAGAGAATGTAACACTTAAAATTTTATTTTATTTTATAAAGGTTAAAAATAAGGGAGATTTATAGGGAAACATTTAACGGGAGGATACTGGCTGAGAACAGAAAAAAAAGGCGGGAGGGTTGACATGACAGGAGTAGAGCGGACTAATGTGAGGCTACATCCACACTACTACATTTTTTAAAGACAGTTAACGATATACAATCGATTAAGATTTTTTTAACTTTTTGCTTTGCATGACTGATAAGACCGAATCAGAAAGCCAAATGTGAGTGTCTGTGTGAGTGTTTTTAAAGTCCTCTATTTTTGCCCACGGGGTCAGCACGTTTTCAAACTTCTCCGTTTTAGGTCTTCGGATTTGCCGGTTTATCTGGACTTGAGGCGGAAATGTAGCAAAAGCTCCCCGTTTTAAATCAGGTGATTGAGTGGTGCCTGAGCTGCTAAAGGGCCCTCTCTCTCTTTGCATCAGGAAACTCACACTGAAAGATCAGTCACTCTCTCTGATGCGCTGTGGGTCAAGACAATTAAACTCTGGTAGTGGGCAGGCATGTGTGTGTGAGATGAGCACAACCGTGACAGTTTCACATGATCCTCCTGCTTGTTGCTCCGCTTGTCTGATTGCTGCTCAACTCTCATTGTAAATGATTATCTGGAGCACATCACTCGCTTCCTGTCTGAAAAGGACTTTGGTGCTAGCTAGCTTTGAAAACTGCTTAGACTGCGTAGTGAAACCATTTTAGCTGCCGTTGAAAATTTGTCTGGCGCGTATTGCATCATCTGATAGGCTTTTCTGATCTGCCTTTTTAGAGACCACTGATCAAACTAGTTAAAGCAATTATCGGCCGATAACGATTGGTGAACGATCGATCGGAGAAGCCTTAAAGTAAATAGAAGAAAGGTTAAAACTAAGACAACAAGATGAAAAAGAAATGCACTTACAGTTTGAATGCCAATAAATTATGTGGCAACTAAAACATTCTACCTTTCTTCCAAATGTCTTAATGTTTTTCAAAAAGCAATCAAATTCCTAATGTTTTTAAGTTTTCCCATGACTGTGGGAGCCCTGTACCACTTACATCTGCCATTTGTGCAATGATTCTTTGTAGCCTTTTCCCTAGCTGTCCTCCTCTGTTTTGGAACAGCCTCATCAGGTTGTCAGAGTGGAGATCCAGCTGAGACAGGAACTTGGATTGAAGTGGGACGGTGGTGATTCTCTTGAATTCAGCGTTGATCTGAAAACGGGTAATAAGCACAAAGGAATCAGGTTCAAACTGTAGACATCCAGGAGAAAGCCACTATCACACATTCAGCAGACCACGACAGTCTAGGAGGGAGATAAAGCACAGACAAATAATATACAATCAGGTATATTAGCAATGTACCAAGACTGTCCTTTTATCAACAGCAAATGCAAAATGAAAATACAGCATGAAATAAAGTCTTACCTCAGTGACGTCAAATAGGGCAGGCCACCTCGCCATGAAATCCTCCACCGTTGGTCCATCACGAACTACTTCATGTCTTCTGTGTGCAAAAGTCTTTTCCATCTTGAGTTTCACAACCTCCCTGTTGTTCCTCTTCTTTACATCTAATAGTAGAGCTTTCTGCATGGCCTCAAGACTCTCCTCAGTTTCTGCTGTTGGGTATGTCGGGCAAAAATTCACCTCTGCTCTCTTTGCCTTTTTGACACCAAAGGCTGCACTGCATCTTCCTGCAGGTTTGTTTTTTAAAGAGTTCACTGTTACCTCTGGGCAACCCAGTTTTCTCAGGTGTGTGCGGTAGTTAGATAGTTTATATTTTAAACTGGTCTTCCATCCGCCACATCCACTGCAGGACCCCTTCTCAGTTAAACATGGATGTGTCTTGATAAGACTCTGGGCTACCTGTTCCATCTCCTTATCACTGACATAAACTTTATACTGTACAATTTCCTGCACTAAACCATCAAGGATGGCTGACTTCAACTTGGGATCTGGAATCAGTACAGTGCCGTTTCGAATATAGGCTAAACTTGCCTGCTGAAGTTTTAATTCAGCATCATAGGAGAACTTAGGCACATGAAAAACAGCTGGCCAAGAAGACCGCGAGCTCGTCGACTCACTCGATGACAGTACATCTGTATCCACAGATTCAGCTGAGAGGGACGAAGAGTCACTTACAGAGGAAGACAAAGGGTTGAATGCTTGGGGTATTAGGACTGGAGAACCCATCTCATTATTATACGGCAAAGTTGGGGGCATTGCCATATCAATGACTCTAAGAGTACCTTTGTCTTCTACTTCTGAAATTGAGGTAAGGTTGAGGAACTCATTTCCAAACGGAATCCATAAATTGAAGTCGAAAATTGCCCTGAAGTCCACACTGTTTCTTGACTTCAATCATAAGGTCATCAATGGATGCAGGGAGTCCATGGGAAAGAGTCAACCTCTGAGAGCTGCCATCAGTCAAGACGATCTTAAGGATCACAGGAGTCCCCATCTTCAAAGCTGTTTATTCTGCAAGGACACACAAATTAGACATCAGACATTCATACATTTTCTATCTTAAATTCAGTGTTAAAAAGCATACTTTTCCAATTGCTTGAGTGTGGTTGGTATGCAAGTTTATAATAAAAATAAACAAATGAGAAAATTAACAAATAGGAAGATAACCAAAATAATACTGGATCACAGTTCTAATTTAGGTTTATATCGCAGAGTACGGTCTAGACCTGCTCTTTTATGAGCGCTATGAGATAACTGTTGTTATGATTTGGCACTATATAAATAAAATTTAAATACTTTAAAAAGATTATTAAAAAGACTATTTTAGACTGATTTTTGAATCACTTTTCCCCCCAAAAAAACATCACTGCAGTTCAGTATAAAGGTTATTACTGTAAATCTGGTCCACATCAGAGGTCAGTGTTAGGTAGGTAGGAATATGGTGGGTTGTTAAACTAGATGATTATATGAACTGTAATTCTAAAAGTTTCCTTTAGGTTAGACAGCTACTACAATTCTAATCATGACTTTTCCACAAAGAAATGGTGACAGGTATGTCTAAAGATTTTATGGGTTTTCCCTCTGTGAGTCACTAATGTGAGCTGGCTCAGTTTCCCAGCATGTCAGTATAAAAGCAGGATTAGCTTCAGTGGTAAGCTTAAGAGTCTTAATATTAGAAATGCTACCTCTGATGCAGAAGAAACTAAGTAACTTGAACAAAATAAATTGAAAAAAGGTAATGTTGAAATGACCTAATAAATTAAAATTTTAGACTTTTGAAAGACTTAATCATTATACAATAAAATTTCAGACATTTAAGGCTAAGGAACTGCAGACACCCTGGAATAGAATTATGAAAAAGGGTAGGTTAGAACAGTTACATAAAAAAAAAATATCTCTATATACACACACACACACACACACACACCCCTTGTTACTTTAAAATATGTGATAAAGGCAGGCAAAAGGTAAGAAGATGGTGCTGCACCATCCTCTAACCATTTAATAAAGTAGACGAAGCAAATTGTCCTGTCCCCCCCAGTTGCTAGCGCACCTTTGATTTCAATATGCCTTTTCAAAGTCACCATGCGGGTTGCTCCAATCTTGTAGTCAACAAGGGGACAAGTATCAAGGAGTTCACTGAGTGCCACGACAGTGAATGTTCTTGTGGGTGCTTGGCTGAGTTCAAAGGCTCTATAATGCTCTCTGTACCAACCACATAGCTCTTTGACAATACAGAATATACTCTCATGTAAAATGCAGATTTGGTCAATTTCACTGAATTCAGGCATTCCACCCACTGCTCTGTGGGCCAGTATCATTCCCTTCCTATATGTTATACCCTTGGTTGTCACACACTGTGCAAGGTGAACCTCAGGTGTGTCAGAGAACTTTTTCCTGATGACTTGGGCTATCTCCTCTTTGAGTAAGTCTACTGGTAGAGTGGATATAGCAGAGACCTCTAGGTCAGACTTGCTCAGAAACGGAGAGCTCAGATGGTATGCAATCATCACCTGATGCTTTGAGGCTAATGAGAGTGGCACATTCTTGAAGCAGCTTGTGTGTCTGATAACCTGCTTAAAAAAGCTATGCTTAGCCTCAAAGCGCATTGTCCACTGCCCAACAATTGGACCAAACAGCCTAATCATCTGGGGGTAGTGCTCCAAATAATGGTGTTTTGGAAGCAGCTGATGTCAGGGAACAATTCTTTGTATCTCTGCCTGTGCTCAGTGATTTTACTTTCCAAAAAAGCCAGCGAGTCATCACTATGCACAGGGGCAACAATAAGCTCTGTAATGTCCTTCAGATCCATGAGAACAAGCCACGCAGGCTCATCTTCAGGTACAAGGGATCCAACCAAAAAAGGTAAGAAGCGGAGCAAGCTCCAGTTTTCATGAGCATTTCCCCCCACCGATTTTGAGCTAGAAAAACTTTGTGACACTACATGAGGTTGTTTGTCTTGTCAGCCCATTTGTAGGGAAACTTCAGAATGGCATGTTTAGGTCTGCTAACGTGAAAAGCTTTCTTGATATAAGCACTGTTAAGCAATGAGCTAGCTCTACTGGGATTATACCCTCAAAAACATCATGGGCAAGATCAGGTGGGAGCCAAAGATGACATTAAAATGAGACAGATTTTTTGTAAAAACGCATTCCTTTTTCACTCCACAAAAACCTGTACCTGTATCTTGGGCTTGTTTGACATGGGCCTGATGAAGCTCCTTTGTTCTCAGACTGAAAGCACCAGATGCAACAGAATGTAGCTGAATATCAGTACTCTTTCCTGTGCAAAATCTGCAATAGTATTCCACCGAAAAACTCTGCATAAATCCTGCAACGCTGTGTGCCCAGGTTGTCTGCCACTACACTGAGAACTGTACCTTTAACTGACTCACCTAACAACGGGACATAAACACCCAGCTCCTCCAGAGTTTTCAGATCTTTTAGAAGAGGTTCAAAGATTTGATCATACCATAGGTTTTAACATCATCGGTTTTGATACTGATAGATAGATGACAATGATGATGAGATCCCGGAGGCAAGTTAGCAATACCAAAAACAGCACAAAGCTTGTGTTTCTTTCGCGAGGTGCCAAGCGGGTTACAGGTTTCAAAATCACACATAAAAATTTAGGATGAGATCCTTGGCTTTTCTCCTGTGAGGAGGAAACTATTTTCCCTAAATAGGGAACCATCTGTTGCTGACTTGAACTGATATGACACTCCAGAACATGTGCTCTCTGTTTTTGATGGCCCTCGACAACTTCAATGATATCCTTTCTACATAACAGCTGTTGTAAGGACTTCAATATCGGTAATATTGGAAACTGCGTTTGTTTTTAGCATCAAGAATATATTCCACTGGCTCTACAACACTGAAGTTCTCCTTATAATACTTCTTACGCTGATATGCGGTACTGAGAGGGCCACCTTTTGTATTGACCTTGAATAGGATTACCAGAACAAATTGCATTAATATTTCTCAATTATATGTTTCCGACAGGGAGGTTTCTCTGATGAAAGATCCACTCACAGGTCACAAGATAATGGAACAGGTGCAGAAAAAGTCAAATGATGGAGTTCTCCTAAAAACACATCAACAGCTGCTGGGCACATGGTCCAAATGCTCCAACTTCAGCAAAGCAGCTGCAAATCTTTGCTCTATGATCT